TTATAAATTGTCCAACAAAAAGGCAATATCTTTACATGTGCATACTCGGAAAACACATCGCTAGCTAACTGCATTGCGATATTTTTCGCTCATATATGTTTAATCTTTTCAAAAATTATGAAAAACTCACCTTGTTTATCGTGTAACACGTCAAAGATGGGTGCTCACAACGAGGAACGGAAGTTGATCACAACATTTTTACCGATGGACATTTTTCACTCGTTGTGAGTTAAACGGGCGTGTATGTGTCGAAATTGGCCGATAGAGAAGTTAAGTATTGGTTCAATTTCGACACCCTGTAAAATTGTTATGCGTTCTTATAATTGAGAATAATCTCAATGTTAAATGTTTCATATCATTCATGCATTTAACGTTTATTTTCATCGAAACTAATACAAAAAATACGAGAAAATGATGACAAAGTTATGTGCCTGAGTTATCGACCCTTCTTATTATAAGATTCTGTTAAATGCCGTTTTTTTCGGGATTTAAGATTACGAGGCAATGGCATCCCTTAGACCGGGAAAATTTCTTCTAGAAAGTAAAAAAAATGCCCTAAAAGACCAAGAGAAAGTGATGACGTCACATCATATAGTTCTGGCATCGTACAGTTGATTTAAATAAAGTAAAAATGGTGCTTTATTGTTGATATAATAGGAAAATGAAAGAAGGTGTCGAAATTACACCAGTGTCGACATTACCCGAAGTTGCTGAGCACATTGTCATTTAAATGATTTTGGCATTGTCGTAAAACAATACACGTTTTATCTTTTTCCTAAATAAAACGACTACAACATAAATTTGCAATTTATGACACTATAAATTAAAAAGGAAATGTTTGAAAAAAGCCATTTTAACACGACCCGCATTTTCCCTATTGAACACAGAAGAACCGAAAGTGTGTGTTATTATGCAATAGAGTCACTGTTTGACGTTCTATATTTAGACATGTGACGTTATCATTATACACTGTGACATAACCGCTATAAAATCCAACGCGCTGACAATAAGTACGGAAACAAATCAGGCGCAATTTTTGGGCTTAATAAGCAGGTAACGGCAAGCATTTATTTGTTTATGTCGTGTTAGAATCGAAAAATAATATAACAAATCGGTGATTTTTATCGCTGTACAACCACCTCACGTTTGGGATGTTCGGATGCGCATCTTATATCACTCGGGCTACGCCCTCGTGATCATAATTCCTCGCATCCGAAACTTAAACTACTACGGAAGGCCGTTGGGGCCATCGCTATGAATGTGTTGATCTAAAACGCGATAGTCGATAATACGATGGTGAAAACGCGAAACTCACCGAAACACGATGGTTGAAAACGCGAAAAGCCACGAAAAATTGATAAAACGCGAAAGTACGATGATGAAATCGCGACAGTACGATAACTACGATGATGAAAGTGCGATAAACTATCGTGTTTTCACCATCGTACTGTCGCGTTTTCACCATCGTAGTTTCGTGATTTCGCCTTTTTATCATCGTACTGTCGAGTATCGCGTTTCAGATCAAACCATTCATAGGCGATGGCCCTAACGGCATTCCGGAATGCCGTTAGGGCCATCGCCTATGAATGTGTTAATCTGAAACGCGATAGTCGATAGTACGATGGTGAAAACACGAAATCCCGAAACTACGATGTTGAAAACGCGATAGTACGATGATGAAAACGCGATAGTACGATGATGAAATCACGACAGTACGATGATGAAAACGCGATAGTACGATGATGAAAACCGACTGTACGATGATGAAAACGCGATAGTACGAAGGTGAAAACACGATAGTACGATGGTGAAAACGCGATAGTACGATGATGAAAACACGACAGTACGATGATGAAAACGCGAAATCACGAAATTACGATGGTGAAAACGCGACGGTATGATGGTGAAAACACGATAGTTTATCGCGCTTTCATCATCGATGTATCGTACTGTCGCGTTTTCATCATCGTACTTTCGCGTTTTCATCATCGTGCTTTCGCATTTTCACCATCGTAGTTTCGTGATTTCGCGTTTTCACCATCGTACTATCGACTATCGGTTTCAGATCAACACATTTCATAGGCAATGGCCTTAACGGCATTCAGTACTAAACAGTGATGTTATTGAGCGATAAAAATCACAGTTTGGGATATATTATTTTCTCAATAACGCCACTTTAAATGGCGGGTAAATTCGCGCGCTTAATGACGTCACGTTTTTAAACGGATGTCATAACAACTTTACAATAAATAACAAGGTGTGTAGTCTCTAAAGGGGGGGGGTTCAAATTATTTTACGGATGACACAAAAATAGTATACACTCTTTATTTCGTTTAACTTAAAATATTCAAACAATCTCATGTTCTATGGATGAATAATTATATAACGATCGCCGAGTGACATTTTGTTTTTCTTCAGATTTCGCTGTATACAGTAAGAGTTCTATCAAGACATTGAATTATGGGACACAACATAGTTTGCTGATACTAACCTTGCTGGTTCCTTGCTTCTACATCACCACCATAGTCTTTTCAACGCACTAGGCAGCGCTGACACCGGTAAGAACATTTGAACCGCCATCACGACAAAACCAAAGTGCGTTTGCGACCAGCATGGATCCAGACCAGCCTGCGCATCCGCGCAGTTTGATCAGGATTCATGCTGTTCGCTATCAGTTTCTTTACTTGTTATAGAGTTTGTAAGCGAACAGCATGGATTCTGATCAGACTGCACGGGTGCGCAGGCTGGTCTGGATCCTAGCTGGTCGCAAACCCATTATGCTGGTTGTGTCGTGACGCGGCTCATAAAGATCTGTCATAATTAAAAAAATATATGTTGCACTTCAGATAGGAATATCCGTCCATTGGGCGGTAACGAGGCTTACCCTGAGGGATGGATATTAACGAACTGAACTGCAAATACACGTTATCATTTTTTTCTTACACATTTACATATTTCAAATTCTTTACCTCAATAAATAATTTTCATGGAAATTAATGTCATTTCATCCATAAATATTTTCTTACGATAGAGTATGAGGTTTTCATATGAAACCTGCCTATCGTTTCCGATTCTATGCTTAATTTTGAAATTTATGGCCAACTTGTTTGTATACATAATTTGGACTATAGATCTGTGGGGTACCGTCGACATGATATGAAAATTGATGAAATTGTCAAAAAAAAATCATATATAATAATAGTAATAATAATAAGAAAGAAGAAAAGAAGACAGCACATAGTGCTTGTTTTTGCATGCAATTTATTATCTATTAAAAACAATGATAGTTACAAGTTTACAGTGACATTTTCAAAGTAAAAAGTTTTTTCAGGTCAAAAAACACATAGAGGATATTTGTTTGTTTTGCATGTAAGATTGAAATATAATTTCACTGAGTGAACACCAGATGCAATATTTTCACGAGTGGCGTAGCCACGAGTGAAAATATAATAGCTGGTGTTCACGAATGAAAAATATTTCGATCTTATATGTAAAACAAATAAATTTTCTTTTTATTTCATGATTTTTTAAGTGATTTTAAGTATTTTTACTGATTTTGCCGCGTAACGTCCCCGCATTCTCCTTTGTGACGTCATCACATCATGACGTCACATCATCAATTTTGAAATATAGTTCTGTTAAATTTCTCTAATTTTGTTACATTTTTAACATGATGTATAGTGACATCGACTTTCTTTTCCTAAAGAAGCAACATTTGCGTATGACGGCATTTATTTCTGTCTGTTTTTCCATTTAAAGTTTAATTTTCTTTTTCATTCGCATTCAGATATAGTCCGGCTACTGTTACAGTGAAAATTATATTTTATAAATTTCACTAGTGGTTTATCAGAATATAATCATCTGATATATTACAATAAAACACTGGAAAGCATGAAATAAAAGTTTTTCTTTCTATTCTTTGACTGTTTTTAAATGATGTAATCATAGGGGCGTCCGTGGTCGAGCGGTTCAAACCCTTTGTTCTCACCGCCTAAAGGCACGAGCTGAGCAAGCGTCTTTAAATTATTTCATGTGATAAAGCTGGCCGGTTAGCTTACGGAACATTGGGGGTGGTTCTACCCATCTGTGACTGAAATAATGCACACCATTGCCACTAAAACAACAAATATTCATCTAACATTTGCTTTAAATTTATTACTGTTCAAATAGGTTCAAGTGTTACTTTATCGAGGTGAATGTTATTGCCTCATTTCTTTATTGCATAATACTCTTTATGGTATTTAATGTATTTATACATTTCGTTTTATTACAGATTTGTTCGTTTCGGATACAGGCACAATTTCGAACAAATACTACATTGAAATCACACCGTCCGGATGGACCTTCAGCATTTGGGGGATCATTTACACATGGCAGGCACTCTGGATTGTCTATGCATTGGTCAATTTATTCCGGAAATCAGAAAAGGGACCTTTCTACACTTACCCAGTGCTACTTCCGGTTCCGTTCTTAGTTTCGTATTTATTGAACTTGGTCTTCAATTGTGGATGGCTGATATCATTTGACAGGGAGATACTTGAACTCGCCGCGGTTCTGCTGTTCCTGATCACTGTAACTCTATATGTGTGTCTATTCTTCTCTTACAGATATCTTGACAGATCAATTGACATCTTAATTAAACAGGAAAGGAAGACGGATGTTTGGCTTACCCGTTTTCTGGTGCAAAACGGTCTCAGTATGTACGCCACCTGGTGTACCATTGCAACCCTCCTTAATTTTGCAATTGTTCATACATATCGTTCTTCCCATGACATCGGTCAACAAAATGCTTCTACAGTAAGCCTCAGCATATTGTCGGCCGCTATTGTTGTATTCTTGGTGACCGATTGGGTTTTCTTGGATCGTTACACGCGCTACACATTTACGCCATATATCGTTCTCGTCATGGCATTGACCGGAAGTTTAACGAAGAACTACGAAGCAGGTGCTCGCAATACAACAATTACTATCGTTCTGCTTGCGATATCTGGGGTTGCTGCGCTGGTGAAGACATTTTTGCTGTTTTGGAGACATATCAGAAAAACGCAAGACGGGGTTAAAATAACGACCACTGACGGAATACAAGTGTGAAATCAAACACTGATGCCATCTATAATGCATAATAATTAACTTACAGACAAAAATTTGTGAATGAATTACAAATCCATACTCGTTCAGTTGGAAACATCTTTCGAGATAAAAGTGATTTCATTTTCTGATCACTGGTGCTGTATAAGTGTATATGCATGTTGTACATTCGAGTTTACGAAAAAATGTAAAAAAAAAGTTTATAGTTTATGTGTACATTATATACCTTGTTTCTTTCTGCTTTTTATTGTTATGTTCTTTTTTTTTAAAATACATGTAAAGTAAAGTTAAACTGTTGTGAGTGGTAAATCTTTTGTTCACTTAAAAAATAGCCGCTTAAAATAATGGTATAAGCACACCACACGAAAGTATTTAATATATATTACCCACATTTTTTATAGAAATGAACTCTGACCGACACATGAAATTGGAAGCAATGTGGTTTTATGAGATTAATATTTTTGAATACACGTACATGCATACATATGTATGTGATAGGTAAATATGTATTGATATAACCATGATGCCGTATTTGATTTAAAGATAGCGAAACATCCACGTTATGTTGAAATCTTATTTAATGGTCCATTTTCAATACTGACATATTTTCGTTTTGGATTAACGTTGTATAAAATATATAGCCAATACTAAATACACATAAAAAATAATGGCCGGCATTTTATGTAAATTTGCTCACTGTGGTTCAACTAGAGTTTAAACATAGGTAAATGGATATGCTTGAGAAAAAAGTACTTTAAAACCTCTCATAAGTCATGACCTTTTAAACAAGGTGGGTTTAATGGCTGTGACGGAATAATTGTCAGCTGTGCACTGCATACCTTGTGAGGAGCCGAATAAAATGCTACTTTGACGGTCTGTTTAGATTAGCGCAATTGTGAAAATTGAAAATAAGGGGAAGCGTTTCGACGAGGAAAGTCCATTACTTGTACTCGTTTTAAACTTAACCCCCTCTTTATATATAACTTGCCTCTTTCTTACTACAGGTTAACACATAGATTTATAACAATGCAATCAAATGCCAAACAGTTCCCCTTTATGTTTACGGGCTATTTAATTTTAGCCCAGTTCCACGATATCAAGTTTCGTTAAACTACCCAATCAGACAGTTGTACAGTCTAATATTTGTGTATGGAGATATAAGAAAATTTTGTCAAAATATAAATAAATTACAACAAAACAAGAAATTTAAAATATGTCCCGAAGGGTTAAACTGTTTATGTGAATGTTTTTTCCTGTACTTGTATTTTTGTTGACGAGAAAATAAGTCGTATCATTCCAGTAGTAAATCATGCGCCTTATTCCATATCATATAAGAGAGGGTTTGGTAGGGGACAATAATTAATTTAGCATCTGTAATTAATCGCCTAGGCACTTTTCTTAGGTATACATGTATATATATTATATAAAAACAAATGAAAAAGTTGTGATGTGAAAATTTTATCTATATAACTAACTATTTTTATTTAAACTGTAAAATAGTCAATCGATTGCAAACGTATTCAGAAGATAAGGGGAAGTAACTGGAGTTACATTTTCGGACTAGTAAAAAAACGAGTTATCGTATGATAAATTTAGAACTCCACACTAATTAAAGCCACAGGTAGGATTTCTTGGATAAAGTGACTACTAGTATTCTGGAGTTTAAGGACTGGTTGTCTTTAAATTTCAAGTGCATTTTCAGCATGGAATTTGCAACATGCACTTTACATAATAATCAGAAACTGCTGACCTCGTAAATATTGTACACCATATACACACCATATAAACTTCCAGTGTTTCCTACCATGGCATATTCCAAAAGAAGTCATTCTTGGATTCAGGCTCATTTCCAGTCTTCATTATAATCCATATCAAATATCTATGCCTCGTTTTCATTTTCCGATCCGAATTAATCAATATCATATCTATAATGTACTGTCAATACCAAAGGTCTGTCAAAATTTAAAAACATAAATGACGTGAAAAAAAAGAAGTCCTTACGCTTTGTTGAAAACAATACTGATTGTAGTGGAGTCGTAGAGAGACGCAAATACTATATTGATCTCGGCTAGCACCCGTCCAATATACTAAACAATGTGAAATTACCCAATTTTATCACGATCATCACGTATTAACTTCTATATTTTTGATCTACACACGTTTTATATGAAACTGGACTGCCGAATGCAGATTGTGCCATAGTCTTGTGTTGTCTGGCATCAGATTATCAAGTGAAAAAATGATTTTATATTCGTTGTAAGTTTATACAAACTTACATTTTGTAAAGAAAACGTTATACAATGTACTAGTATATAGCTCGCCTGCACTTTCCAAACTAAATAGTTGAAGAACCGACAACTCCTGTTGGATGCTATATTTAAGTAAACACTTATTACAAAACGATATGATGACTAGACAATGTTCCAATGATATATGAATGATATATGAATGGTATAAATCACGCTTCCATCAAAGATCTGAATAATAATCGCTCATAATGTAAGTTACCAGATATTTTCACGCCACTAGTTAAGAATTTCAGGTGTGCATGAACTACATTATTAAGGCGCCTCTAATTCTGAATACGGGTTATCAGTAATACCGCAGTTTTCAAACTTTTCAGATGTACTATTGTACGGCCCATCCTTATCATCTCCAATATTTGGGACGCGTTTATATGTCTCAATTTGATTAGATCCATTCACGTTATCAGACTTCTTAAATTCCGGTTTGTCACCACCCAGTTGATTGTAAGTGTCGTTTCCAGTATTATAAACATTATCTGTATGCTCACCAAACTTTTGAAGCTGTGCATCGGTTGACATACTTACGTCGTAAGTTGTATCGCCCAATGTATTGGATCCACCTTTTGTCATTGGGTCTGCATGATCATATGTTTCATTGGGAAGCACATCTGGTCTTTTACTTGTGGTGTTATATTCGTTTTCATTTCCCGCTGTACTATACACATGTGTTTCAGCGTCAACTGGTCCAATTTCTTGGCTTTGAAAAGCTTTTGCGTCATCATTTGTGGTAGGCTCGGAATCATTTAGCATTGAAAAGTCAGGATAATTGTACTCTACGTTATTCAACGCACTTTGGTTTGATACATTGCTGGACATTTCGTATGTGAAGTTAGGATAGTTGTATTCAGGTGTGGTTACTCGTTCATTTGTTTCTGGCATTTTGTTAAACCGATGTGACAATTTGTACCTTGAAAAAGAATTTCATTTTTAATCAAGACTTTATGGAAAATATAACACAGCAGCAGCTATTTATAACACAGGAGAAATGATTGCCATATAACATATCCCATATATAATATCGAACCTGCTTCTTAAAAAAAGGGTCTACCGAATGTTATATAAAAATGTCCACTTTTGATATAGTGGTCTTATAACCTGCCATGCACGCATATTTGAGAGCTTACGATTCAAAACGCACAATAAGTGGATTACTGATCTCCATTTATGAAATATAATTAAAGTTAAGCTATTGGCTCAATAATCAGAGAGAGAAATACTGAACAAATATCATGCAATAAGGCGCTACTTTCATACCCTGTCGCATAGCATAGCTCTAAGGGGATTATGATAACGGCCTCCGTATGTCCGCAAGCACACGATGTGCAAAGCGCAAACTTTAAGTTATTGCCCTGCCTTCAGGGTTAGGTTTACAGGTATAATGTTCCGATCTATATCTTTTTTACTCTTGTAATGATTTTCAATTATTTGTATCAAATAAACACCACAATAACACGAAATGCACATCACGACAGCAAAGCTTTACCCATTAGGTCATTAAACATTTACCTTTAAGATTTCTGCGACAAGGGACATGTTTTTTCAGTCTGCCTTGTCTATAGTATGCTTTGTTTAAGGTGATTAAAAGTTTTATAAGACAGACTTGTACAGACTGGTATATATACACAACTGACAAAATTTGAAAAGGAATGTGACAAACGCTTTATATAGAATTCATACATCTATTACCAAGTCTCAAATATCAGGTTTGACAACACAAAACCATAAAAGGGTGTAGGAAATAGGAGGTCTAAATAGGCACTATTACGCATTTTTTTTGTAAAAAAATGGATAATTATCTTACAAAGACGAGTAATCTGATTGTCAGACAATAGCCTTTAAACTCCATATGAAAATTGTAAACTCATACCTTTGATTGGGATATCATCTAAACATCTACATATCAAAGCGACCCCTTGAAGGTTTTGATATTATGGGACTGGAATTTTCTCCCGATAGTTTTGTACAATGGTCTAATAATTTGCGTGCAAATTTTTCATGTGCAAAATGATCAAAAAAGTGAAAAGTGTTGCTACGCTTTTTAATCACATTGGACTAGTTATCGCACAAAAAAAACCTTGATTTTCATTCTAATTCCGAGATAATTCATGTTTATTACATGCTTTTCGGTGGTTTATAGAAATATATCAGTGATATAGAACTGGTAATTTCACTGTTTGAGCCAGTGAAATTACCACTTTGATAATTTCACTGTATTGAATTTAAGCCCATTACGTTGTTTCAGTGAAATACCAGCGTGCACAGTACTGGGTACCAATTTAATGACGTGACGTTGTAAATGACGTCACGTTGTATTATTATTTGGCGCGTTTTTCAGTCAGTATTAGATTAAATGTCTCTTTAAAACGTTTCTTTGCATAAAATAAAAAGAAAATTTGTTTAGTTTAGTATAAGATTGAAATATATTTCACCGTGTGAACACCAAAAGTTCATATTTCACTCGTGGCTGCGCCAATCGTGAAATATACCTTTTGGTGCTCACTCGGTGAAATTTATTCCAATCTTACACTGAACTAAACAAATATCCTCTATATATCATCCTTGCAACTTCATTTAAGTGTTTCGCCTGATCCATGTAAAACTTTCTAATTTTATGTTTTTAGGCCTTTTAACCTAAGTGGGGTTCCTTTATGTAAACATGTTTATTTGGAGCTGTGATAAATACGAGATGTATAAAATAATGAAAATAATGACAATGTATAATATTAAATACTTACCGCCTGTATATGAATGTTACGGTTACCACAGCAACTGCAATAGCTACCAGTACACCTAAAGATACTAAGGCGGGGACACTTGCATCTATAAATATAAAATACATGTAAAATGTTTCATACAATAATATACAACGCTGCGTGATGTTCTTATATCTTACCACTGTTACTGTTTCTGTAGTTTGCTTAACTTAATGGAATGTTTGTTAAAACATGTAACGTTTATTGCTTTATAAGTTTTAATACGTGTATTTTTTATACATGTAACATTTATTGCTTTATAAGTTTTAATATGTGTATTTCTTAAAGTTAAAAAAGTAAAAAAAAAGTTATATATTCTGGTCTACGGAACATTTAAGGCACGATAAATTCAAACGTACCTGTCGGCTATGACCGAAGCCATCCGATTATGTGGCCCCAGCTTTGCCGTGTGCAAAATGCGCAGCGCGTTTAAGTGTGGGAGCCACATAATCGGATGGCTTCGGTCATAGCCGACTGGCACGTTTGAATTTATCGAAAGATAATGTCATTGAAGGAAAACGGCGATAATATCGATGTTTATTTCGGCTGTTGCGTTGTTTATATTACCGTTGAAGTTAAAAATTGACCATCATCGTGAAGAATTATATCTTCTGTGTCGATGGACCAAACACGCCCGTTTAACTCACAACGAGTGAAAAATGTCCATCGGAAAAAAATGTTGTGAGCAACTTCTGTTCCTCGTTGTGAGCACCCATCTATGACGAGTGACACGATAAACAAGGTGAGTTTTTCATAATTTTTGAAGATTACAGACATTTATGTAAAAATATCGAAATGCAGTTAGCTAGCGATGTGTTTTCCGAGTATGCACATGTAAAGATATTGCCTGTTGGTGGACAATTTGATGGAAATACCGTGCGACGTAGTCACTCGGGGTAGCTGGAAAACTGGAGACAACTTCTCTTTGGACCTAATTTAACATTGAAAACGTCGATTCTGGTGACGTTTTATGCATTCTAACCTAAAACAGATGCCCACAAGTCTTCAACTTAAATTATTATCTGAAAATCTTCGAAGAAACGAAGATATATTCTTTTTTTGCTTTAATCCTCGTTGTGAGCACCATAACCTCGTTGTGAGCAAGACAAGCGCAGTGCTTGTCTGGTTTTAATAAGTAATTCAAATGGCAAGAATACAATTTTCAATCTACCAAAAGCAATTAAAACGTTTTTGTACAAAAGTTTTTCTTTGCAATAGTTCTTCTTTTTCTTTTTTTGAAAATTATTCTTCATATTCACAAGTCATCAGATTAACAAAAGAACTAATCAGTGGAGATAAATCAGGTGTTTTATTTCGTATACTCTAGTGTGGCACGAGTGAACATCACGGGGTGTTTATGAATAGTTCAACACTTTAACAATCTGTGTGATACACACATACATGTGTTTATCCTAAGCTTAAGACTGACCAATTTATGTAAAACAAGAACTATCACGGTAAGTTGACAATGCCCCTGAAGTGGTGCTTTGTCCTTTTATTTACGGACCAGATAGATTATTTGTTTTTTGACAATTAGATCTTCAATGTGAAGGTAATTCAAGGTCAAGGTGAAATAAATATAGGTCAGTTGTGTCCAAATATGAATTAATTCCACTTACTTATAAAGAAGTTATGACCAAGTTTTTGGATGTTCTAGAAGGTCATTCACGGTACAAGGTAAAAAAGATACAGATCAGTTTGAAGCTCTTGCCTAAAGGGGTATTGTTTCAAAATATGAGTAAAATCCGTATACTAATAAGGAAGTTATGACAATTTTTAAGTTTTTAGACAATTTGACCTTCAAGGTGAAGGTCATTCAGGGGTGAAGGTCAAAAGAATATAGGATAGTTGAAAGGCCTTGTCCAAAGATGTGTTGTGTCTAAACATTATGCCAGGACATTATGGCCAATCTTAAATGTTTTTGAACAATTTGACCTTCAAGGTAAAGGCCATTCAGGGGTCAAGGTAAAAAAATACAGGTCCATAGGAAGGTGCTAAGTGATGTTGTGTTCAAATATGAATCAAATCCGTTTACTAATAAGGAAGTTATGGCCAATGTTAAAGTTTTCGGACAGATTGACGGACTGACAGACGGACAGTTCAAAACTGATATGCACCCCTTTGGGGTATGCACAACGTCTTGCAAAGAAATGCTGCCGTGCAAAACGTTTTAATTGCTGTGGTAGATTGAAAATTATATTTTCACCATCTGAATTGCATATTAAAACCATACACGCACTGCGCTTGTCTTGCTCACAACGAGGTTATGGTGCTCACAACGAGGATTAAAGCAAAAAAGGGTATATCTTCGTTTCTATGAAGACTTTCAGATAATAATTTACGCTGAAGACTTGTGGGCATCTGTTTTAGGTTAGAATTTACATAACGTCATCAGAATCGACGTTTTCAATGTTAAATTAGGTCCAAAGAGAAGTTGTCTCCAGTTTTCCAGCTACCCCGAGTGACTACGTCGCACGGTATTTCCATCAAATTGTCCACCAACAGGCAATATCTTTACATGTGCATACTCGGAAAACACATTGCTAGCTAACTGCATTTCGATATTTTTACATAAATGTCTGTTATCTTCAAAAATTATGAAAAACTCACCTTGTTTATCGTGTCACACGTCAAAGATGGGTGCTCACAACGAGGAACGGAAGTTGCTCACAACATTTTTACCGATGGACATTTTTCACTCGTTGTGAGTTAAACGGGCGTGCCAAAGGATTATGTGAAAATATTGGAAATGGAATAAAATACATGGTGATTATGACGGTAGGGGTGCGGATTTTTTCCGGCGAACATTTTTATCTTGTGTATTATTATAGATGTTGAAATATGAAATATTTTTTAAAAACGGCTTATATTAAGTTTTTTTTGTTATATATGATCAGTACATGTGCTGGGATTGACAAATATGCATTTTATTTGGATTTTAAAGGCGTTTTGAGCTCCTAACTCCAAGTGTCTGTGTTTTAGATATGCTCAAAATAAATTGGAGACAAAACTAAAACGATCAAACCACGCTGTCTACGACCCTCTTTGATGGTCAGGCATCATTAATGCAACAGCCGTGTTTGAAAACCAGTTACATATTGGAACAACTAGCCGATGCTGTATTTCCATAGTTCTTATTAAAGTTTCACAAACAAATGAGAATTTTACACAAAAGAAATGATTCTGTTAATATAAATTACCATTGTTTTCTGATGTATTCAAGTCATTGGTATCTGTCGTTTGTTTGTTCTTCGTCTTCTTTATCTCTCTGTCATTGCTTTTGTTTTGAAACTCTGTACCTTTTGTATATAAAATAAAAATGAAATATACATTTCTATGTCAATATCAACTAAATGGATTCTAAACAATGTTCAGTATTTTTGTTCTATTAGTAAGTATTCATTTGCAACTATTCGGCCCTTTCCGTCAAACGTCGGATATGAATGCGATAAGTTCCTCGAACATAATAGTAAGAATACAATAAGGACCTTGCGATCGAACAAAATAGTAAGAATACGATAAGGACCTCACGATGGAACACAATAGTAAGAATACGATAAGGACCTCACGATGGAACACAATAGTAAGAATACGATAAGGACCTCGAACATAATAGTAAGACTACGATAAAGACCTTGCGATCGATCACAATGTAAGTATACGATAAGAACCTCAAACAAAATAGTAAAAATACTATAAGGACTTCGAACACAATAGTGAGAATACAATAAGGACCTTGAACACAATAGTAAGAATACGATAAAGACCTTGTGATCGAACACAATTTTAAGTATACGATAAGAACCTCGAACACAATAGTAAAAATACTATAAGGATCTCAAACACAATAGTAAGAATACGATAAGGACCTCGAACATAAAAGTAAGACTACAATAAAGACCTTGCGATCGAATACAATGGTAAGTATAGGATAAGAACCTCGAACACAATAGTAAAAATACTATAAGGACCTCAAAACAATAGTAAGAATATGATAAAGACCTCGCTATGGAACACAATAGTAAGAATACGATAAGGACATCAAACACAATACGTGTAGTAAGAACACGATAAGGACCTCGAACACAATAGTAAAAATACGAAAAGGACCTCGCGATCGAACACAATAGAAAGAATACGATAAAGACCTTGCGATCGAACACAATGGTAAGTATACGATAAGAACCTCGAACACAATAGTAAAAATACGATAAGGACCTCGAACACAATAGTAAAATTACGATAAAGACCTCGCCATGGAACACAATAGTAAGAATACGATAAGGACATCAAACAAAATACGTGTAGTAAGAACACGATAAGGAACTCGAACACAATAGTAAAAACAAGAGCACCGCTAGGCGGAGCATTATATGCCCGAAAGTGTGTTTTTTTTTAGTAAGGATGAAGCATTTGTAAGACATGGGAATTCGCTGTTCATCCTATAAAATTTTACAGCTGTAGGTTGATTAATACTTAAGTTATTTATAATGACCTTAACCTTTGACCTTGTGACCCCAAAATCAATAGGGGTCCTATACCTTATATGGATAATCACCCTAAGAAGTTTGAATATTGTGGGCCAATTGGAACTTTGATTATGCTCTAGAAACTGTTTTCAGTATTAAGGTAAAAGTGACTTTGACCTTTGACCTTGTGACCCCAAAATCAATAGGGGTCTTCTACCCAATATGGCCAATCATCCTATGAAGTTTGAATATTGTGGGCCAAATGGAACTTACGTTATGCTCCGGAAGTTGTTTGCGGTTTTAAGGTAATTGTGACCTTGACCTTTGACCTTGTGACCCCAAAATCAATAGGGGTCTTTTGCCCAATATGGACAATCATCCTATGAAGTTTGAATATTGTGGGCCAAATGGAACTTAAGTTATGCTCCGGACACTGTTTTCAGTTTTAAGGATATATTGACATTGACCCTTGACATTTTGACCCCAAAATCAATAGGGGTCTTCTATCCAATATGGACAATCATCCTATGAAGTTTGAACACTTTTGGCCAAATGGAACTAAAGTTATGCTCCGGAAACTGTTTCCAGTATCGAGGTAATAGTGACCTTTGACCTTGTGACCCCAAAATCAATAGGGGTCTTCTACCAAATATGGCCAATCCGAAAACTGTTTCCAGTATCAAGGTAATAGTGACCTTGACCGTTGACCTTGTGACCCCAAAATCAATAGGGGTCTTCTACCCAATATGGACAATCATCCTATGAAGTTTGAACATTGTGGGTCGATTGGAACTTAAGTTATGCTCCGGAAACTGTTTTCAGTTTTAAGGTCATAGTGACCTTGACCTTTGACCTTGTGACCCCAAAATCAAAAGGGGTCTTCTACGCAATATGGACAATCATCCTATGAAGTTTGAACATTGTGGGTCGAATGGAACTTAAGTAATGCTCCGGAAACTGTTTTCAGTTTTAAGGTCATAGTGACCTTAACCTTTGACCTTTTGACCCCAAAATCAATAGGGGTCTTCTTCCCAATATGGACACTCATCCTTTGAAGTTTGAACATTGTGGGCCAAATGGAACTTAAGTTATGCTCCGGAAACCAAATTGCTAACAGACGGACGGACGTACGGACGGACGGACAGACAGACAGACGGACGCCAGGGGGTATAACATAATATATAATAAATAAGGACCTCGCGATCGAACACAATATAAAGAATACGATAAGAACCTCAAACACAATAGTAAGAAAGCACAGAACGATATTTTGGTTATACCAACCCTAAGAAACTAAACAGTCATGTGGGAGCTGTTGACTTAAATTTATTTAAGTATGTCAAGTAAAATTTCAGATTAAGAAAAAGTTCATTTTTTATCATGCAAAGATATTGATTTTTGTTGATAAAAATGCATGCCTGATAAAGTTATTCTCAGCGTTAGCAGACACCTCATCAATATATATTGAAAGAAAATGAAGAGAATGTAATAATTTTACCTCTTACTAGTTTGGAAATATTATTATACTGATTATCTTTGAATAAAATATATTTTTCAACTATTTTTTTCTCTAACATTTGTCTTAAACATTTGGGACTATTTCTAAAAGATATGACCATTGGGCGACATACTTCTAGTGGTTCGTACAAGTTTATGTTTGGTTTGAAATTCAGAGAAAGTAACGCTTATCAAAATTGCAAACATGATAAATAGAATACCAAACAAGTATATGATTTATAAAAAATAATCAGGTTCGGCACGAAAAAAAAAATAACGACTAGGCTGACCCTTTTTCCTTAGCCTGCATTAAATATTCTTTATTTGAGTCTCATCCATACATAACAACATTAAATAATCCAATTACATGATTTAACAAAACAAAAATTGTGTACGGTAAAAAAATATAATGCAGGGGAGGCAACTCTGTAAAAACATTCCAATATAACTTACAGAGTAAGCTCTCTTCTCATTCCATATTCATTACTAAAATAAGAAAACTATTGCTAATCTTGTTCTAAAAGACTTAAAGAATTTCTGTTACAATCGCTTTAAAGTGAAAACCCTAGTAATGTTCTCTTCCTTAAACCCATAAAAATAGACTGAAAAGCAATATATTCTTAACGTTTAAAATCATTTTTTGGATAAAATTATTTCGCATCATTGAAAGGATAAAACCTATATAAATTAAAACGAAACATTGTTCAAAATTGATAAATTTGAATAATTTCGTTATATCAGACACAAGTATGGTATTCTCTATTTATATACTTATTAAAGTACAAAACATTGATTCGGATTTGTTTTACATCATTTGGGGACGATGAAGGAAACGAGGAAACGAGGAAAAGTTTGATTGACTGTAAGCAATGAAAAAATAATGTTCATCGTACCCTTTTCGCACAGTGCCTTCATCTGCAGATTGTCGTCTGTAAATTTGAGAATGTAACGTCCATGATCACGCTGGACATAGCCATACTTTCTTTCATAATTACCCCCTTCCTCTGAAATAAGTAGAATACAAGTATTTAAAGGCACATTTAAAGGCACATTATGCCTTAAATGAACGATTTCTTGTTCATCTTTAGAACGGACAAATATGAGTTTTATACATTGATATAATGTTTTAGAGTATGTTAAATGCTAATCACATGAGGAAATTAGAGCACAAGAAAAACAATAACAATTGAGTTATAAAGATAAAAGCATTTCAGAGGTAGATTGAGCCTTTAAATTGCTAGAAACGAACAGATAAGATCTAAATTAGTTTAATCTATTTTTTGCATTGTTTTTGGCTTTTTTACGGATGAAAGTTACTTTTAAGATATGTTATTCTTTGTTGGTATTGTTGTTGTTAAATGGAAAACAGGTCAATTATATTGCCGACTTAATATCAATGTTCCTATGTTAAGTCCATTTTATTAACATTAACATTTTATTTGAACTTTCATTTTATACGCTTGAACCAAAATACACACAAGGACGAGCAAAATACTAAAAAAAAATCAAAGCAGTACCCGTTTCATCGTACTTGAAGATGATATCAACATGTAGTTTTTCATCTGTGTCATTTGTCCAATATTCTGCTGTACTATCAAGGTTGTCGTCTGCTGTACCATCAAAATTGTCGTCTGCTGAACCCTCACGACTGTCGTTTGTTGAAGCGTCATTCTCCTTTCTCTCGTTTGCTGATTCGTTCTCTGTCATAGGTAATAATAAGCCACGAAAGAAACAAATGGTTTTGAATTTCGACAAATAAATATCTGATAAAATGAATTCACGTGCAATTCGAATACATAATGATGTGCTATAATTATATAGTTTGCTTTTCTGATGGGTTGTATCGCTCGAATTGGTTGTGTAAAATTGAATTCTCAGGTGCCTGCGATGAATTAAAGTGATATAGCTCACTAGACTATAACAGGCGTGTAATTTTCAATTTTATATACATCTTTAAATTGTGTAACTATACAAAATCTAAAATTTGAGCAAAATCAATATGATTAGATTTAAGTAGGATAAGTATATGACGTACATCTTCTTTATCTTAATAAGAATGCAAAATACATGTATTATAAATGCACAATTCATTTTATCATAATGGTATGACCGAATAATGTAAACGTTATTGTATACTTATACTTCCTTTTAGTTAAAAAAAGTTTCAGTTTCAGTTTTTATTAAACCAAGGCATATAATATGCAACTGGTTATAACAACAAACAAACAGAAAAATAACAGTCAAAAATCACTTATATCACAATATAAAAATACAATTATGACTAGCTAAATAAACAGAAAGGAGATCAAATTGTTCATTTCAAGTACTGAATTCAATACAACATGTATTTTATATAGTAACAAATGGGAACGGAGAATGAGAAGTATTAATTATCTAAAAGAATCAATCAATTGAACGTTTTTAAAAACTAACATGTCGGCAAATTGCTTGACTTATCACAACTCTTGTATATACTTTGCCCCACTTTCATATCTTCATATATTTCTTAAAAAGCAATTATGACCAGACAGAAACGAAAATCCATTTTACATGAAAATGCTTCAAGCTGACAGAAGTACATTACAAAGTTTAATTTTCTTTATTTTCCGTTGACTTAATAACTAAGCATTCAAGGTGAATGCACTAATATTTTGATCTTGAATTTCGTGCTCGTGAGACATACACCCGCCTTGTAAGATAATCTATTTGAGATGATTCATGTTTGAATTTCGTAAGATAGAAGATACATGACATGAGTACCGTTTTTGTTGATATTGTTTTCAGACTGGTAAACAATTAAATAACCGCTCCCTCCACACCTAAGACGTATCGGATGACTGCAATGTTTGTAGAAATTTGACGCATCCGTCATAGAATTACCGTAAGGCTCTTCAAAACAAACGCACTGAAATATCAAACAATATTATCTACTGAAAATCTATGTCACAATAAAAGAAAATTGAAAATGTGTAAAGTATGGTGGCTGATTTGTGCCATTCGTGCTTTCGCCCCGCGACCCTCAAGCGAAAAGTCGAAAATTAACAAGTTAAAATTGCGGGGGCGCGGAGCAAAAACACACTTATTAGCGGGGGCGCAGGGCAAAGTTTAATAAACAAAACTTCGTCCCGCAGGGGCAAGGAGCGAGATTTAAGAAATAAAATGGCGGGGTCACGGAACAAAATCACACTTATTAACGAGGGCGCGGGGCGAAGTTTAATAAATAAAAGTACGCCGCGCGCCCCCGCTAATTATCGTGTATTCGTCCAGGTTAAAATGGCATGGCGCGGAGCGAAAACACGCTAATTAGCGGGGGCGCGCGGCGTATTTTTATTTATTTCAGTCACAAAGTTGAAACTTGTGCTTAACATAAAATGGCTTGTCTGGTGTTGAGGTCACGACTATTTTCGTTTTTAAACGTATTTTCATGTGAATTCGACAAAAGTGAAAGGTTTAATTCTACCGCAAACACGTCTTTCTGATAAAGGGCGCGTCACGCGACTTTTCCTGCCATCTTTGTTTTATTTTTGGAACATTTGAAGAGACGACAGCAAGAGACATCTTTAATGGATGACGATTTCCGTTTTTGATGTTTTTGCTTGTTTTATATCGGCGGTACATACATTGCCATGACATCTTGCGCATGACGTAACTTCCTTGATTCAGGTGCAATGGTGCACGTTTTTAAGTCATACACATCTTAGTCTGAATTTGTTTCAATAGCGTACACAAACAATTCATGAACAGTTAAGTTTAAGCTTAAAAGAATTTTAAATCGAAACGCGTCATTTTGTTTTGCGATCGTTTCATATTGGTTTATTTATCAATTTCGGTAACAAAAGAAATGACTTATAGAAAACGTACGTAAACTAAATAACAAATAGATAAGAAAACTTTAAAGAAAGATAAATTAATTGTATTATTTTAAAATAATTAATTAAAATAGAAAATTCGCTTAAAGCAGCACCTACATATCTTTTGGATATTCCTATATATTCTGAAGTCAAGCATTTTTTGAAGCACTTGCTAGCATCACCTTTATATTTATTTTTCTGGTACTCCTTCCTTGAAGTAATAGCAACGCAACCTGTCAGATGGATAATCTTTTATAAGTGAATCATTGTCAATTTCTATAGGAATGACAAATGTATTTATTTAAGCCTAATGAAATATAACCAAATCCTATAAAAAATTGCCTCGTCTTCATTTTTTGCAATTAAAATATCTATATATCAAATGCATTTTGCATCCTATATGGCCTCGTGCTCGTTTTCAGAGTACAAAAAATCTATATCAAATGCATAACGTACCTGAAGAAATAAAGGTCTGTCAAAATCTCAAAAGAATCGTAATGCAAAATAAAGACGTCATTGCTCATTGTTGAGAACAATACTGATTCTACTTGACTCATACACAGCTTACGCCTCGTCCAATATGGGTATGAGATTGTTTATATGTTTGTTCTCGCCCAAGAGCAAAATAACCCAACCTATAAATACTGTTATAGAAAGAGCATCGAAATACGAGGCTATCTGATTTGTACGAAGGGGCGTAGATAGCCTCGTATTTCGATGCTCTTTCTGTTACATTTTTCAGGACATTCATGTCTACATTTTTTATAGCAATTTAGAGTCAAATATTCATTCAAAATAGTTTATCAAAAAGTAATAGTAATGATAATAATATATTGCCTTACCAACATGAATGAGTGACATCTCAATCGAGTAAAATCCTACCCATAGTCCATCAGTTATTCCGTTTCGTATTAAATCATTTGGTACATCATTTATAGTTAGACAGCCTTGTTCATTGTCACAAGTGAATATCTCGGGTGTTGCTATATGACATTGTTTTAATGCATAAGACCAATTTGCCGTCTGCTTCGATATATCATACTCGCCTTCAATATGATTATATATTGTATATAATACATACAAATAGCCGCAACATGACAAAACCAACATAGTGCGTTTGCGACAAGCATGGATCCAGGCCAGCCTGCGCATCCGCACATTCTGATCAGGATCCATGCTGTTCCCTATCAGTTTCAATACTTGTACATTTGTAATAGAGTTTGAAAACGAACAGCATGGATCCTGATCAGACTGCGCAGATGCACAGGCTGATCTGATCCATGCTTGTCGCAAATGCATTACGCTGGTTTTGTCGTGACGCAGCTTATAGATCGTTATAATTATGTTTCGTTCACAATATATGCAGTAATACTTTAATAGATACAATAGAAACATTAAAAACCGTTTAAAACGGCAAAATTTAGGGTATTAAATAAGAAATTGAAATAACTATACAATGTTGAAACTGACTTTCAATATGATTATAAATATATAATTGTTACATATAAAAAAAACATACATGTATATTAAAGTTTCATAGATATGCTTAAATAGCTACATCGATACAAAAGAAGCATTTAAAGGGTTTTAAATGGCAAAACTTGAATTATAGATTAAAAAAAAAAATTACTTGAAAATGTTTGTGCAAGACTACACGCCAACTATTAAACAATGATAATTATGATGTTGATTCTAATGATGATTATGGTTTTGAGCATTATAAAAAATATGACTATGTTGATAATTATTATGATGTTGGTGATCATTATGATGATAGCAACAAAAACAACAGTTATATGATAATAATTCTTATAATGATGACCTTGGTGATGATGATGATAATGATTATGGTGGTGATGATAATGATGACTGACTACTATGATGATAATTAATTATTATCGTGTTGGTAACCATTATGATGATGGCGAAAACAAATCTTATATGATAATGATGGTAATAATGATAAACATGCTGATGACTGGTGATGATGATGGTGATAGTGATGATAATGATAATGATGATGATGGTGATAATGATGCTGTTACATAGCAAATGTCTATAGGAATAAATAAAGTGAACTTACCAAAACTTCGCCTTACATAAAACAGAATTAAGAGCAAATAGGATTGTAATTCATTTAAAGCCATTTTGTTAAATTATGTTAAAATTTAAACGTTTTGATTAATGTATAAAATGACAATATTATATGTCGCATCCTTATTTGAATGGACAATTTCCCCTTTTAGAACGTTTATCATTATACATACAATGAAATGAAATTAAAATCAATAGTGTTTTCGGGTTGGAGTGTACACATTAAGTGTTTTTCTATGAAATCGCGATAACAGTTATAATCAAATTATATATCTGCATAATATGTACATTGTAGTATGAGCGGAAATTTTCAATTCGTTTTCAATTATGATGATAGAAACATTTCCTTTTTCCATAAAGAGGAATGTTTGATATGAACGTATATCTTAGTTTTCAACAGTCAATTTACCTTTAAGGGCCATCATTAAAGTTTGAAGTTACAATTGCAAGTTTATTTTTTTTTACCTAACGGCAACATCTTTGGAGCCCCTTAGGTGACATTTTCCACACTTAATTCGTTGTTACGAAATAATAATTCGTTCTTACGAAAAATTACTTCGTAATTACAAAATATTTATTCGTTTTTAGTTTTTTGAAATCTTGTTTTGTTTTTACGAAATAAAAATTCGTTTTTACGAATTTTCAATTTGTAATCACGAAATATTAATTCGTTTTATTTACGAAATATTATTTCGTTTTTACGAAATATTAATTCTTACAAACGAAATGTTAATATGTTATTACGAAATCATGTTTCGTTTTTACGAAATAATAAAATTCGTTTTAACGTAATATTAATAAATAATTACGATATACTAATTCGTTCTCATGAAATATATTAAATAAATAAGTATATTAACTCTTAATATAACAAAATATTAATTTCCATCCAAATTGCATGTCGGCCGGATATAACATGGATAAGCCATTGACAACAGCTTGAAAAATATGATTAGACAGCGTGCTGGTGGGGCATCGTGGCCGAGTGGTTAATGTCGTTGACTTCAAACCGCTTGCCCCTCACCGCTGTGGGTTCGAATCCCGATAGAGACTTTAGATTCTTTCATGTAAGGAAGCTCTCCACCTAGCTCACGGAACGTCGGTGGTTCTACTCAGGTGCCCGTTCGTGCCTGAAATAATGAACGGAAGGGCACCTGAGGTCTTCCTCCACCTATAAAGCTGGAACGTCGCGATATGATATATACTGTGTCGGTGTGACGTAAAACCCAATCAAACAAACAAACAGACAGCGTGCTAACCAGATCTCAAGAAAGTGTTTGAACTTAAGTACATTGTCACCTTGACCTTCAGCCAACTGATCTCAGTATTTGGAGGGTCAAAGTATTATATCTACATGCAGTAACGAGAACAGCAAGTAAAATCATATGCTTAAGTAATTAGTCTGGCAATGGAATTAAGTTGAAGGTCATTGTGAGCTTGACATAGAACCTACTAATCCCACAATCAGAAGGAGTCTACTACAAGCCTGAATCAACCTTGATGTCAAATATAACAATTTCTAGCCTGATGGCCCACAAGTTATTATTGTGTTTGAGTGACCGAGGTTTTTGAGTGAGAAATCATTCTCAATCTTTTCCTGGTAGGTAGGTAGGTAGGTAGGCAGGCAGGCAGGTAGGCAGGATGGACGGGCGGGTGGTTTTAAGTAGGTAGGTAGGCAGGTAGGCAGGGAGGCAGGTAGGCAATGGGTCGGTAGATAGGGAGGCAGGTAGGCAGGTAGGCAGGCAGGAAGGTAGGTAGGCAGGGAGGCAGGCAGGCAGGGTGGGCGGTTGGGTGGGTGGGTAGGTACGTAGGCAGGGAGGCAGTCAGGCAGAGTGGGCGGTGGGTGGGTAGGTAGGTACGTAGGCAGGGAGGCAGGCAGACAGGGTTAGCGGGTGGATGGGTAGGTAGGTAGGTAGATAGAGTGGTCGGCAGGGAGTTACCCGCAGGTTTGGTGGGTGAATGCGTCTGTAGTTAGCTAGCAATGTAGGTGGGTAGGCAGGAAGGCAGGGTGGGCGGGTGTGAGGGTAGGTAGGTAGGTAGGTAGGTAGGCAGGGAGGTAGGCACTGGGTAGGTCAGCAGTTAGGTAAGTAGGCAGATAGGCAGACAGGCAGGAAGGGCGAGTGAGTGATTCGGTAGATAAGTAGGTAGGCAAGCATGCAGGGTTGGTTGTTGGGTGGGTTGGTAGGTTAGGTAGATAGGTAGGTATTATAACAATCATTGATTAAACAAAATATTTATAAGGTGTATTATCTACCATTTATTATTGTATTTTATTCATAACTTGAATATGCATCGTTATTCTTATAGGTTGTGTCACGTGATCTCGGTGTGAAAACAGGTGTTTTTGGCGCTCTCGAAAAAATGAAAAATTTTAATTAAAATATATTGTATGGATACTTAAAGGAATAATTTTGCTGTTTATAGAAGTGTTTATGAATGTAAAATAGTTTATGTAAGAAAATAGTTGTGCATTTGATGGCAAATAAGAAAAAATCGGATAATAAAAAACGTAAGGTGAGCGACGGTTCAGCAAACAATGGCGGAGATAAAAAGTCTGGACGTTATACAAATACACCTGAAGAGGTATGTGTAAGCAGTATACTTAAAGACACTAATTCAGTATTATTTGATACTGATAGTAATAGTACGATTATAAACCTAGAAACTTTGTTAGATTCGAAGGAATCGGTTGATGATGATACGAAAACTTATAGATTAGACAATACGTCGTTCAATATGAGTGCTAGTAATATTGATGCTGGGGCGGAGGCCCAACCTATTATACCATCTAATGCAGATTTAATGAAATGTTTGATGAAAATACACGAAAGGCTTGATGGTATGGAAAAACGCTTAAGTACACTTGAATCTCTTGAAAAAAAGGTTGACAAATTTGAGCTGGAAATAAATAAAATGTGGAACTCTGTTCAAGACCAGAATGTCACCACAAATGAGAGAATTTTGAAGGTGGAGGAGAAAACTGAAAGTGTTGATTTCAATCTTGGTGTATCAATGTCTCGAATTGTGGATCTAGAAACTCAAAATAAAAATTTGAATCATGACCTACTTTATCAAATGTCGCAAAGCATGCGAAATAACCTCGCATTTGGTAACATTCCCGAGGAGGCCCAGCCGGGTAAATCGTAGGATACAGAGAAAGTGTTGCGCGAATTTTTAGTGGATAAAATGAAATTTGCTAAGGAGATGATTGACCAAATTCAGTTTGAAAGAATACACAGAAGAGAAAAAAGAGCTAGTGAGAGAGTCATGGAAGGCACTGGAAAATACAAGTTTTTATTTACACGAACAATATCCTAAAGAGATTGCTGATAAAAGACGTATACTAATGAAAAAGGCGAAGGAGGCGAAAAGTGAGGGAAAGAGAGCGTGGGTGTCCTATGATACTCTCTACATAGACGGGCATGCACAGAAAGATGTATAGGGATACAGTGGGGATGGTTTAAGTGTTTTGTCCTGGAATGTTAATGGACTTACAAATATTAAAAAGAGTAGCCAGGATTTTGTAAATATTATTACATCTAAAGACATTATATTTTTATATGAAACATGGACATCTAAAACAAGTAAAATAGACATTGATGGTTATACAACTCATAATTTATATCGTAAATTTCAGGCATCGCAGAGCCAAGCGATCTAGCGGGGGTACAGCAATATATTATAAAGACTGTCTAAAAGATGGTATTCATATAGTTCGAAACCATTATGATACTGTTATATGGCTTAAGCTAGATAAGGATTTTTTTTCATTTTGTAAAAGATATTTATTTATGCGCAATATATTTATGGTGTGAAGATTCGCCAGCTTATGATGTATGTAATGTAGATTTATTTGATCTCATTCAAAATGATGTGTTTGATTTTGAAAGTCAAGGGTCATGCTATTTGATCGGAGACTGGAATAGTCGTATTGGTCTAAGGAATGATTTTATTACATGTGATATGTATAATGATATCATAGATGATGATAATTATGTACCAGATGTACCCCTATCTCGGGCCTCTTTAGACAGAAATTGTAACACATTTGGGATTAAGTTATTAGACTTATGCAAGTCTACAAATTTACGAATCGTGAATGGGCGATTAGGAAGTGATCACAGTAACGGTTCATTTACATACGTGTCCAGACAGGGGTCATCTGTTATTGATTATTTGGTAACAAATGATTGTAATTTTATAAACATAATAGATTTTACTGTACATGATTTAAATGAGTGGAGTGATCATTGTCCGATATCTTTTTCATTATGCTGTAATCTTGTTTGTAATGACTATCATAAGATTAAAAATGAAACATATATTAAACATACTTGGTCTCAGGAGTTGAGAAACGATTTCCGGTCTTCCCTTATATCGAAATTGACTGAATTAAATTTGTTGACTAGTAATGTTGATGTAAATGATAAATCTTGCATTGATATTATGATCGCGGATTTTACATCGATCATACGAGATGTTGCTGATCCCTTATTTAGCAAAATATATACAAGTAATCATAAGCAAATGTTTAGTGATGTACCAATTTCTGATAATAAAGAATGGTTTGACTATGAGTGTATACATGCTAAGTAATTATATGATAATGCATTAAAAAGATATAATATGAATAAGACACATTTTAATAGGGAAGAATTTTGTCTTTTAAAAAGTTCATATTAAAGGATTGTTAAACGGAAACGAAAAATGTATGATTTGGAGAATATAAAGCGTATTGAACATTTACGGTATTCTAAGCCGAAAGAGTTTTGGAAGTATTTTAACAGTAAAAGTAAATCACAACATAATATTGAGTTAGGCGATTTTTTAAAATATTTTTCACAACTTGGTAATGATATATTTCAAGCGAGAAATGAGGAAGCAGAAACGATTTACTTCGGATAATGATTTTAATGACTTAAATGGGTCAGATGAGATTTTGGATAAACCCATTTCTGTAAATGAAATAATTGAGTCTGTTAAGACGTTAAAGAGAGATAAATCTCCTGGTATTGATTTGTTATTGAATGAATATTTTTTAGAAGCTATTGATATATTGTCATCTCATATATGTGATATTTTTAATTATATCCTTGATAGTGGACATTTTCCTGATATGTGGACTGAAGGCGTTATTGTTCCGTTACATAAAAAGGCGATAAAAATGACGTAAATAAGTACCGGGGAATCACGCTTGTAAGTTGTCTG